ACCGTCCCCTTACTCACCAATACATAAAGAATTTATAGCGCAGCTCATATAAAAAAATATTCTTAATGCTATACATAATCTAAATACAAAATTTATTAATAATATAAAAAAATTAACCTTCATATTAAACACAACATTTATTAACAAAAACTCTTCCAAAAACCAAATCCAACAAAACATTACAATTCCTATACATTTTACTAAAAAAACATAATTTTTCAAATCAAGTACCCCCCAACTATTTACAATAATTTCAAAATTTTAGGCACGATTTTAACATTCCACTATATTTTCTTATATTCTTTTATAATTATTTTATATTATTTTAAATATATATTATATATTTGTTTATAACATTTATATATATTTAAAAATTAATATAAATCAATTTAATATTTAATTGTTGTTTAAATTATGTTTCTTTATTAATATATATTTTTTATTATTTTTTTCCCTGTATTTCTTGTCGGCTGAGCTTGTCAGTCCCAGTGCTGCACCCTCTCAGCCCGACGCATCAGACATGTCACTAAGTATCACTAAGTCAAGGAGCCCCGCATTTGTGTTCCTTGTGTCATTTCTAGCTGGTGCCTTGAAATAGAATCTAGTTGAAATACAGCAGATCTCAATGAGAAGTGACGTGGCTGATGGACTCAAGGGAAAAATGAAGTTGAATAGCTGGCTGAAACCACACCAAGGCAGTTTGCAACAAGCTTTGCGCAAGGCAACCTCTGCGGATTTGCACCATTTCTAATTACATATCACCATATACTACCCCATATTGATCGGAACTTTGTGAGGTTCCTATCAAATTCGACTCCTTGTCAATATCATTCTTTGACCGCAACAAACTCACTTTGTTTTAGTATTTGAATCAGCTTCTCCGGATCTAGTCGACCCAGCTTCAATGAAATCCCGAGCCTCCCATCCCTAATTTTGGAATGATGTAAAATAAATTAACATGACCCCACGTGGTATGTTCCTGGATATCTGGAACGGCGGCTTATAATATGTTATCATCCCATAGTGTTCCCATGTCATCCCAATAATCATCCCAGAATTGTCCCATTTATCATTGGGCTTGGTGCAACCCTCGAAAGTGTCGCCTGTTTCCTGCCTTCAGCCCTGACACGGCAAACATCACTGCAACCTGCGAGCCTGGACAGTGGCCTGGACAGTGCCCCTGACAGCCAAGCAGCAGATCCAGGGCACTAAGCTACTCTCTACTATATATACATGATGTATACATATATTGTATATATATATAATTATATACAATTATGTATATATATATATATTATAATTGTATATATATATATACTGTCCATAGGGGCAAGGCTTGAGGTTCCCCGGAGCATCGAGGAACCTTGAGTCTTGTAATAACGTCCTTTGAACGGCGTTAGAGGAAAGATGTTGTTACAGTACGTTGATCTTCGTTGTGGCATACAGAACGGGGGGTGGGGGGAGTGTAATAACGTCCTTTGAACGGCGTTAGAGGAAAGATGTTGTTACGTTGATGATGTTGCTACGCTGAAGATGTTCAAGATGTTGCTACTGTACATTGAAGATGTTGTTACGTTGAAGATGTTACTCCATTGAAGATGTTCAATATATTGATAGATTTTGAAGATGTTGCTCCGTTGAAGATGTTGAAGATGTTGCTACGCTGAAGATATTGCGGTGCTGTCGCACCTACCAACACCTTCAAAAAGGCCTTGTGGATTTGAAGATGAAAAAATGGATGCGCATTTTGCCCATGGGTCTCTTGGTAATCATGCCATTTTCACGTGATCAATCAAAACGCTGAAATTCTATCAACACGCAATTACACAGGTTTCTACAAAATCAACATTAAGTGACGAACATGACAAATATAAGAATTCTTGTTTTCCAGGCCAGCACACCCCAGGTATGTTGGCATCAATGTATTGCCATGTTCCATGATCATCATAAAACACTGTAAAACGCAGTGAAAAATGACATTTCCACATCTTTGTCCAGCTCCACTTCAGTTGCGCTCCGGGGAACCTCAAGCCTTTACCCTATATATATAATAATATATACGTATGATCAAATAATATATGCAAATGTACAAAGCTAATTAACCTGCCAAACAATCACAACATAAAACATTCAAAAGGGGGTCCTGATTCTCAGACTGGTTTCGAAGAGGGGTAGGTGTAGGCCTGTTATGTGTTTACATCTATTACATTGTTTGCCTTTAGGTGTTACGTGTTGGATCTTGTTGGCCACATTTCCTGGCTCTCAGCAAGTGCAGGGTGTCAATCCTGCCATTGTGCCGCGGGTCTGTGCGAGTGCATGGACCTTGTTTGCATGTCATCGTTTTTTGTCCTTCATTCTTTGGACAAAGCCCATGCAAAACTTTCGCCCCCGAAGCGTCGCAACGGCTCGAGGGCCTCCTACGTTTCGATTGCAGTGAGAGCAACTTCACATCAACTTGAAACAGGGAAACTATATCATTCAAACTTCAAACATATTAAAAAACAAAAAAAACATAAAAAACAGATTAAAAAAGCAACATCAAGTATGACAAAGTCGCTTGACACAATTAGAACCGAGTAGCAACTTTCATGGACTCTCCCCTTCCAGGTCAGACAAGATTTCTGACACGTTCTGCTTCGCTATACTTCGCTGAGTCTTGGCTGCTCCCCCTGCAAGGGTGATGGCATGCATGCACACATTGATGGCCTTGACATCGGGGAAGGATGACTTCGCGTCATTTCCGCCATCGGATCCATCCTTGTGCCCTAGACTCTACCATTGGCGAGTATCTTAGACACGCTGGGAGGCACATGCTTTGATCAATGGATCATGCGGTCAACTTGCAGAACGACAATGAACGACAATGCACAGCGGCTCTTGCAATATCATCATCAGACTCTGCTCATTCACCAGCGAAGTGTGCTGAATTAGCGTCCGCAACTCGCGGAGTGACACTGCTGAAATAGTCAGCCTGCAATGCTCACCTCTCCTCGTTTGCAAAGGTAAGCCCATTGCACCGGAATCCCGAAATGGACCGGCATCTCGTGCGAAAGGCAAAGTACTAAGTACAAACCGCAAACACAATCCTGAGCATCAAATACATATTGACACGCCTGCATTACCCTGCGATAGACCTGCAAACATGCATGCTTTTGACAAGCGATTTGAACACCTGTGATGCTGTTGTTGCCCCGGCCATTGCTACGTCTCCTCCAGCCACGTCCTTTCCGGAAGTGCGGCAGGACAGTAGAAGGCAGGTGCAACAAAATGCCAACGGGTGTAGTTGCACAAGGGCCGTTCCCAGCAGCGAAATGTGTCTAGTACTCAAAGGGGACCCATAATGTGATCTTTCCTCAAAAGCGTATCAACAGTTCTCTTTTTGGTTTGAATCTGCCGTTTACGAACTGTTCCATCCTCTAGGTTCTTCACAAGTCCCCATTGAGAAATATGTGAGTAGCTCTGAAGAGTTTCTTCCTATGCGACCTAGGATGGCTGGCCAATCCCACAGCTTTACTGCCGTCTAATTCAAAGGATGCATCCACATTCATCTTTCAAGTTTGTGTTCAATCACAAAGGTTGCACTCATGATGCAATGCCAGAGAGCATGGCTCGCATCCTTCGGCCCGATGGCAGCTGGTAGTGAGTAGTTGGTGCCATTCCCCAGGTGGTTCGTGTGCGACGTGTGGGTGAGACCGGCAGCCCCGTTTTGACGCCCGGCCCGCGCGGCCAATGCGTTTCTCGCGGCCTTAAAACTCGCCTGCACAGTGCAACACGGGACAACGCCCACGCCCTCTGCAGGGGATCGACTGGGCCACATGGACATTGGTTTGCTATGGCTTTCCTATGGTTTCCTCAGCTCAATGAGGGAGCCAAGGTTGCAGTTCATAGTCAGGCCAATGTCTCTCCTCTATAAATCATTCATACAGGCAGTTTTGCTGAAACTTTGAACTGCAGACCCCGCAGCAAAGTAACACAACTATTTGTTCATCCTTTTCTTCTACATTTGACATTCTGGAAAGAGTCCCTACCAACGTCCGGAGAGGAAAAGGTGAGGGTGGTCAAATGAATTGTCGGAGCAGCTGCACACGAGTTGTTGAGGACAAACCAAACATATAAATATCAAGAAATCTAAAGAACACACCACACATCAAGCAAATGCTGATCATGTATGATCATGTATGATCATGTCTCATCTATACTGATCTATACTTCACCTGCATCAGGGTCATGCCCTCAACTCAAACAAGTTTAAATCCTGCTCGTGTCTGCAGCTATCATATGCTATCAATGAACATGCAAAAGGGCCACTCTGGCACGCTGTGTTCAGAGCCTGCTCTTGGATAAGAGAAACTTGTATAATCAAGCTCTTCGAGAGAACGCCTGCCCCTGTCTCACAAAACACACATTCCCTTCTCAGGATTTCTCAGCTAATCTTGAATTTGTCTCAGGCAATGAACGCTGAAGATTCACTTGACAGCTTTTCTCTCAAATGACCCTGTACAACAACACCTCGGTCAGCATCTAAGGAAGGACATTTCAAACTACACATTCAACCCATTGCACATATTACTGTAGATATCTGTAGATCATATTAGCACATGATCCAAATGGCATCCACTTGCCACGGTTTCATTGGATTTCATCCACTTCCAAATTACAAAGAAAACATTGCAAATCTTCTGGCAGCCAATGCCTTGTACCTTTGGAGCCGAGAAGATCGAAAATCCCGCGCACCTTGAGTATTCCAATCCAACTCGCTCAGCCATTGTCCACTACCATCCCCTGGCACTTGAACATCTTTGGGACAGCATTTGGGACTGCATTTGTCGTGATCAATACCATATCAACAAACTCTGTACAAACAGGTTGCGTTGCGCAACGACAAAAACATCAACGATAAAGACTTCTTCCATAGGAAGATCCATGACATGAATAAGATGAAACATAACATAAGTTCACATGAAACATCACAGAACATCATTTGCACATTTTGCGTCGTTTTCCTTGGCACCTCTTTGTTCGCTTCTTACCCATTCTTACCCAATCTAATGGACTGGTGTCTTTTCTCTGCATTTGGAAGTGGTAGCCCTGCCATGCCCTGCCTCTGCCAAGTCCATGAGGCTTGGTCCATTCGGTGTGACCTGAGATGCGACCTGCCGGCGAGCTCCAGCACGGATTAGCACGGATGGCACGGATTCATGTTTTGCAGAGTTTTGAGTTTTCATAGTTTTCAAGTTCTTGATTTGGACATAGTAGAAATATTTGGTATTATTTCTAATACTTATCACATCTTATCACAGTTTCCAATGATTTTTTTGCTGCCTAAGTATCACTATAACATATTATAACATTTCACTACTTATCATTAATATCATTAATTATATATATATATTTCATTAATCATTATATATATATATGTGATAATACTTATCATCATTCACCGTTCAAAGCCTCCGGATGTGCGAATCGAACACATCGTTACGACTTCCCTCCGCACCTCGCGGATCTTCCCGGGATGGCCTCCAAGGCCTTGGTGACGATGGGAGAACCATGGGAGAACCATTGGCTAAACACCAACAGCTCAGCAAGGTCCAAAACATCCAAAAAAAATATCCAAAATATCATCCAAAATATCCAAACATGTCCAAAACCATGATGCAAATTGCCTGCCAGTTGCTATTTATAAATCTATTTATAAAATTTTATAAACCTATTTCTAAATCTATTTAAGCTGTTAGTTCTAATATGTCTAAGAGCCTTGCAGTGCAGCAAAGGATGACCCTTTAGACGAAGGATCGTGCTCTCCTTGCATTTGAGCTGCAGTGCCAAGCTGACCGCATGGACCGCATGCCAAACTGCCATGACCCTTTGTACTTTTCATCTTTTCTTGGTACGCTGCGTAGGCAACTGCTGCCAGCTTTAGACACTTGAGCTTAGGACCATGAGCTTTCTCTGTGGCACGGATGGCGCAGGTTCCTTACAGCAGCTCTCTTGGAGCGATGGTCATCCGTCCGCTGGAAATGTAGCGCAACTGGATCTTGGGCTCCACACACCTCCACCAGCATCCGCATTGCCAACAACAGGGTCCGGAAAATCTCGATCATCTAACATCCTCACAGCTTCAAGGTTCAAACAGCTCCAAACATTAGCTGGACTTGAGGTCAGCTTTCTCCAGTTCCAGCTTTTTGCGGCATCAAGCTCAACCAGCCCAGCGGCACCTGTGGATACGCTGCAGGAATAGCTTTGCAGCATCAGGTTCCTTGAGGCCGCTCAACGGGACGTTCACCACCTTCCGGCAGGCTCCCATCGCAAAACGAGGATATGAAGGAACTTGAACCTACTCTATTTTCCCTACATTGTATCCTGACAAGCAAGGCGTCTATAGCGGAACCTGTTGATCAACAAATGCTTGTATACTATTAGTCAAATATGATTATGATGCTCATCAATTTCCATGTATATAGTCTCGCGGTTAATGCACCAGCAGTAGGGACACAGTTCTAATCAAATATCTGTGACATCGGTGGAAATCCTCTTGAGAGACATCCTCTCCCCACATAGCATATCTTCATGTATCTTCTATCCTGCGGCGACAGTCTGTCTCCTCCCCCTGTAACCTCCTCTGTGCAAACAAAAAATAGTTTAACAACTCCTAGGTGCGTTGCCTTCGAACGTTTCCTGGGAGAAACCCACAGCATGAGGATCATGATTTCAGCAGCAAATTGATGGCAAGCATTGGCATAAGAAAGCTGTGCTGTTATTTTTGAATATTTCGAATAAATAGGGGACACTAGGCAAGCCGCCAAATAGTCCAACTACTGTACTACATTTGCGAGTTTCTTTTCGAGAGGCAGTTGACCAAGTGATGCAGGTGGTGAAGAGGCGACCCAACAGGGCATTGCCAGGAAATATCAAGAAGTGGACACATTGCGACAAATGAACTGAGCTAACTTGTGGTTGTTGCCAAATTATATCAAATTATCACATCACAACCATCTCTAATTTCAGTGTCTCCACTTACCTTCCATTGAAATAACCCATAGCTATGACCCATTCCCTCGCATCCAAGTCAGCACCCCTTCCCGATTCCCAGCTGGGCGCACCTTTGTTGGGCCCAAAGAGTGGTAGATTGGAGCCCGAGAAAGGATCAGGATGTGCAACTGGCACCTGAGCCGCCAGTTGAATCTCCCATGGGAAAAATCAGGTCGTTGTTACCATTTGATACCATTTGCATGGCGATTTTGGCGGCATACATAACCCCATGATGTGTGTGTGTATATATATATATGTATTTATATTTATTTATACACCCATATATACCCCATTTTCAGACACACTGACATCATTTTACAAGTTCTGTCCCAGGAATTTGAAGATCTCTCAGCGCCCTACGTGTGTTCCAGCAGCTCGCCAAAGAGCTTTCGCACATCCTTGTCAGCAGCCACTGCGCCAGCCTGACTCACTATGTGCATAACCACAAGGAAAGCATTACATTCATGTTTCCAGAAAACCCTAATTCTCAATTGCGCTGCCCCTCAATGTGTAAGGGCGCACCCAATTGCTGTGGCATTTGAGTTAATTCAAATTCAATGTGACTTGCAGAGGGAAGTCTGATATCATCTGAAATCTGTATCATCCCAAGTTGATGAATTTGCAAAGATTGAGGATGCCAATCCAGCAGAATGACGACTCTGAGCACCTCATCATCCACAACCAGCAAGGTTGGGGCACGACGCCGGGCACGTTCGATCTGTTGGAACCTGTGAAAAATAACCACACAAAGTGCCACGACTGACAACGATTTGCAGATCGCATCACAACAAGTTTGAAAAGAGCCATGGGGGTGCTATTAACGTTTATAAATTAAAGGAAAATCAAACATGCAAAGATGCAACAAAGGCTAGCATGCCAATCTTCCTTTGCATCGCCACACAAGTTCATATTGCATGAAGTGGAAGCACAGGAATGCTTGCTGCAAGAGCATCCGTGCATAAGTCCCCATGCATGTTGCTTTGGCAGATGAGGAAATTGTTCACCCACCATGAGGACTGGGCGGTGCACAGAGTGTACACTGCAAATGACTGTCTATGGACATGGCAAAATTGAACTGCAACCTTTCGCATGAAGTGGAAGCACAGGAATGCTTGCTGCAAGAGCATCCGTGCATAAGTCCCCATGCATGTTGCTTTGGCAGATGAGGAAATTGTTCACCCACCATGAGGACTGGGCGGTGCACAGAGTGTACACTGCAAATGACTGTCTATGGACATGGCAAAATTGAACTGCAACCTTTCGCATGAAGTGGAAGCACAGGAATGCTTGCTGCAAGAGCATCCGTGCATAAGTCCCCATGCATGTTGCTTTGGCAGATGAGGAAATTGTTCACCCACCATGAGGACTGGGCGGTGCACAGAGTGTACACTGCAAATGACTGTCTATGGACATGGCAAAATTGAACTGCAACCTTTCGCATGAAGTGGAAGCACAGGAATGCTTGCTGCAAGAGCATCCGTGCATAAGTCCCCATGCATGTTGCTTTGGCAGATGAGGAAATTGTTCACCCACCATGAGGACTGGGCGGTGCACAGAGTGTACACTGCAAATGACTGTCTATGGACATGGCAAAATTGAACTGCAACCTTTCGCATGAAGTGGAAGCACAGGAATGCTTGCTGCAAGAGCATCCGTGCATAAGTCCCCATGCATGTTGCTTTGGCAGATGAGGAAATTGTTCACCCACCATGAGGACTGGGCGGTGCACAGAGTGTACACTGCAAATGACTGTCTATGGACATGGCAAAATTGAACTGCAACCTTTCGCATGAAGTGGAAGCACAGGAATGCTTGCTGCAAGAGCATCCGTGCATAAGTCCCCATGCATGTTGCTTTGGCAGATGAGGAAATTGTTCACCCACCATGAGGACTGGGCGGTGCACAGAGTGTACACTGCAAATGACTGTCTATGGACATGGCAAAATTGAACTGCAAACAGGTGTTGAGGAGCTACGTCTTCAATGGAATAGCGCGAAGAACTACTTGGTTGATGTTATTATAGACGTAATATGCCCTTAATGACCCCTAATGTTAACCCATGGAATCCAATTTTAACATACATTTAGCACGATTTTGGGGGGTAAGCCTCCGATAGGTCTAGACAAGGTCTATCAATCCGGGGCTGGCACCCTCGCCGCAAACGCTGTCGCAAAGGCAGCAGCAAAGTCATGGCATCCTCGCAGGGAAATTCATCCATAGATGTGGAAATTTCCGGCAAGGGCCGGCAGTATGTGATTCACAGATATTAACATCGCACCATAATGACCGCAATGCACCATAATCATAATTATATATAATTATCATGGTTATCATTATCTGTGGTTAACATCGCCATAATAATCGCAATAGAATCATCATTATTCTCATGATAGGCAGTGCACAGACCTATTGATCACTTGACAGCCCGCGTCCAAATCACTTGGAGCTTCGCAGATGGAAATACTGGACTCTGCCGACCTGCAGTGTGGGTCTCTGTGCTTTCAAAGCATCTAGATATCCATTGAATTTATTTGAATTTAAGATGTCTGAAACACAAGTCTGTGACAACCGTCAAAAACTCATCTGCACACCTCTAAACTTTGCGTGTCACAGGAAACTACGATGATGACGAGGCAAGATCACAAGACAAGAACACAAATATGCAGCATATTGCACACAATTTTTGTTCCACACGCCGTAGACCGTCTTCTTGCTACATCTGACCGCAGTGTCAAATTCAGCCCGAGCATTCTGAGCAGCGCATGCAATCTTCTACGGCCTGCCAAGTCAATTGCCTCAGTTCCACTGTGACTAGTTGCCTCGTGGGAACACTGGACAAAAATGGGCCTACCGACCTACCTCCACCTGATAGGAATTTAGCTACCACCGTCAAAATCATCGCCGACTTTTCTGAGATGTTTGGAAACCTCTAGTGGCATCCACTACTTGCCGTGGCACATCTTCACATCTTCCAGGCGTACCTAGCTGCAAGTGTGGCAGTATCATGATTTTGATGTACTCCTGGACCAAAATCAGCCATCCAGTTTGAGCAAACTGACCTGGTCAGAATATATATATATATATGTAGTTAATATAGATATAGTTAATATATATATATATAGTTAATATAAATATAGTTAAGATAGATATACACATAATATTTAATACAACATAATACAACATACAGTAATGTAATGTTAATATAGTGTACTGTAATATTATATAGTCACATATATATATATATACATACTTATGTATATATATATATATATGGTGGCTGGTCGAAATGTCTTTTCCCAGAAGTGTGCAAAATTCGTAGATAGGTGGGGGCCCGCTACATAATTGTAATTGTGCATCATGCATCTTGCTATATCTTCTGAACTACAGAAAATCAAAGGGAGGAGAAGAAGGGTTTCATTTCGTTCAGAACGTTGCTAGCGCGAGGCATTTGAAACCTTCCAAACAGTATGTGCGCGTAATGTAGAAATTTTTGGGAGCCACTGCACGCCATGCCTTCTCAGGCTTGGATGTGGCTTTCCAATGCACAACTGTGTATTGCAATCCCAGGGTTAAGACGGCATTTGACGTCAACCCCGCTCATGTTTTGAGCCTGAAGAAATGGGCCAGGGATGGTCTTGGCACATGTTCGCTAGCGCTGTGCTAGCGCGAAGCTAGCGCCACGCTAGCGCAAATACGTGCACAACTTTCGGAAATATCTGTGACAAGGACTGGGGATCCTAGACAACATACTATCACATCATCTCAATACCATGCAAATTCCACAATCAATGCCAAGCCAAATATACAAAACAACTACGTCCTAAGAATACTAAAGCCAAATAATGCAAGCGCGATGCTAGCGCAAATCTAGCGCCTAGGTGCAGAAATGCAGTGTTTAGGTGGGGGCCCGCTACATAACGAATACTAAAAACTATTGTCGACAATTAATTTCGCAACTTCATTTAAATTTCCTTACTAGGGATTTTTGACCGGATCCCATATATGTATAATAGATTCATTGATGCATGTTCATACAGGTAATTTATTAGTTGCTGCCATGTGTATGTGTCATATTAGTGTCATAGTCAATCGGCCTGAACGCTTGGATCGCTACAGGTGGTCAGCTTCCACCTCCAGAACCTGCAGTGATGACACCGAGTGATGCACCAAATCTTCCAGAAGTGATCCCGGATCCAAACATTTTCTAAGGCCGCAGCAACCACAAAAGTCAGCTTATCTGAGTCTGCATTCAAGAAATCCCACTCTTCTTCGCCTCCGGTGAGACTTCCGGAAAAACGATCAACATGAAAGCAACGGCACTCAGCACCTGTCCACAGCTCAGTTGGTGCGCTGGGATGCGCTGGGTGCCTCCTTTCAGAGATACTTCGGAACTTGGTGGAACAGTGCAAATTTGCTTCTCCGCAAAGTTGTGCTCTGTGAAGTTTGAGCTTTGCAGGAATCCTGTGGCAAGAGCTAATGGCAACGGCAATGATCAGTTTGTCTGTGTTCGCTCGCACCCGCCTTCCCCCAGGATGATGCGAAACTTGAGAGTAGGTTGGGTGCACTCATTGATGCTTTGGACGCATCCTGAGTGACATCATGTGACCTCATGTGACATCCAAAAGAACGCTTGGCCTTGCTGCACTGCCGAGGTGCTAAGGGCCACATGGCCTTTACCTTTCGCCTTCTTGAAAGAAGAGCCTCAGATGTGGATCTGTGATGATCTGTGATGATCTGTGGCCCTCCATAAAGCATCATAAAGCTACTGTGTACGGATCAAATCATCGAAATTCGCGGAGCTTCGCTGGCAGTTGCGCTTTGGCCATGTCCGGATGATTCCAGTTGCACCGGATTCCAGATGTTGCAGGAATGTTTCAGTACAGCAACTCAAAATTTGCCAAGACACAATGACGGTTGGAGGATACGGACCTAAGATTCAGCTAGAGTTCAGGGCGCAACTGCCAGAGCCAACTCCAGCCGAGTCGCGTTGCGAAGAGATTCAGCTTGAATTCCACATCTTGACCACCCATGGGAATGCGAAATGATGGAGAGACCTCGACCAGTGAGACATACTGAGACCACAAGGATCTCCAATATCTTGGCTGATTCAAACAATATGAAACAATATGAAACAATATGAAACAATGAAATATGCAATGAATTGCAATGAACCCTTGCCTTTTCACGGTCTTTGTTCTTGCCTCGGCTTCTCACTTTGATTCAGTCATCCAAATAGCTCAAGCAAGTCATCTCCAGTGTCAAACAACAAACATCCTGCAAATGATCCCATCAAGAGAAAACCACATCATCATACGAGTAGCAATGGTCAAACCAAAACAAACATGTGAGCCATGACAAATATCCCTATCGCATCCCATTATACTGGTCAATAATGCAACTGTCCCCAATAAACCAATCAACCAATCAACCAACCAGGTTTTTTTTTTAATGGTTCATGTGTCAAGAACTGTCCGAATATCGGTTGCCGAGCATCTAGTCAGGCTGGCTTTCTCCAAAGTCCACACAATCCGACGAGGGTCACTGGCATCTACACCTAAAGCCACTGAAGGCCTCAAGGGAGGCACGACGTGCATCATACTGAGCACTGCAATATTTACGGATTCAATGGTGATTTTTAGTGGACACAAGTTCGCCAGCAAATGTGTAGCAAATACCAAGATATACCAAGATTGGATGTTGCAACATTTCCAGTGACGAAGGAGCATACGAGCGACGCAGTTGGGGCATTTGGGGTGACCTAAGCGGGAACAAAGTCCCAGCCTCTTCTCAGCTGCCCTCAGCAACAAACCATGTGACATAGTGGCACGATGCTGACACCTTACCTGGCACCTGTATCCACTATATTGGGCCTTCATGGAGTTTAATTTTGTGAACCCTTTGTGGCAAAAAATGATAAAAAATGCAAAGAGTCAGGATCTCAAGTGCATTCGGAAGATCTGCGCCAACAGCATGAAGCCACAAAGCTTCTGAATTCAGATTCAATTAATAACCTTTACCAAAGTTCGGGTGCGGCCAGGCTACTTATCAATCCACATGTCTCCTTGCTTCCCTGGCCAGGACACCAGAATGAAATAGTATGAAATGTCCTCTCATGCCTCATGAGTCCGTTTTGGACTTTTCTCAAGCAACGAGCACAATGTGGTTTTCCTTGGAATCTTTGTGCCACTTAATTATAGAATCTGGCCTCGGCCTCTCTTGCCCGATTTCCTCGGAAAACTACGGCACACCGACTGAAGCTGAATGCAAGCATGCAAACTCTAAAGGAGCTGAATCACCGTCTCCTTCCAGGCAACTGTATCGATGTTTTTGTATGTTTTTGTCATAACAAACGTACAAGCTTGCAAACTCAGGCTGCAGGAACTTGCATGACTACCAAGCCACGTCGGCACAAAGTCATAATACCCTTGGAAGGCAGAAATAAAGCTGGAAATCGAAGTTGCAGCTTGCCATTGGTCCTGCGAGCGTGATCATGGAGGATTTCAGGATAGGCTGTTGGGCAGCATAGGTGAACATTCGATGAACATTCGATGAACATGGTATTTGATATACTAGTATGACAAGTATGATATCTAGATATGTTTGCTTTCATCTTAAAAGGTCTCAAATGCATCTTAGGAGCAAAGTATGGATAACCCTGCATTTGCCAGGTGAAGGATCCTTGGTGTCCCAGCCCTGCTGATTCGCTCGATTTTTCATGGTTGCTTAACACCCTGCAAGTCGGCTGAAAGTGAGAGAAACACAAACGTCTCTGCTTCCATGATTTCCATGGTTTCGCCGAGACACCATACATCCCCTGACCGTCCTGGGCTGGGACATGATCAAAGAGCTGCGATATGTTTAGAGTTTTTTTTCCTGTTTTTTGGTTTTTTTTCCTTTTTTTTTCCCGTTTTTTCTTTTTCGATACTTTTTTCCCGTTTTTTTTCCCCCGTTTTTTTTGTAATTTTTACTGTTTTTTTTTTGTAATTTTTCACGGTGATTTTTACCCTCTTTTTTTTCCCGTTTTTTTGGTATTTTTTTCCCCTTTTTTTGTCTTTTTTTCACCGTTTTATTTATTTTTCTTTACTGTTTTTTTTTTCCCCTTGTGTTTTCCCGTTTTTTTTCCACCATTTTATTGATTTTTCCGTTTCTGGGGTTTGATTGTTTTAATTGGTATTTGCAGCATTTTGCAATTAAGCTCTCTGATTTGCATGGTGCTTGTTACATTTGGAGTTTGGATCCCCCAGGCGCGTGATATTTTGAATACCAGGGACCAGGGATGATGAAAATGGTCACGAGATGAACTAGAAGTTCAAGGGGGTATAGAAATGGAAAACATAGATACAGATAGGTTATGAAAACATACAAAATAAGATCGGGGGCGGAATTACAGTAAGTTGTTATGTTTTTTTGCATTTTTTCTTTTTTTGGTCGTCCAGGCTCCATTCCTTGGTTTTTGCAGCTAAAATCTCTCATTTGCTGCATTTTGTAGCTAAAATCTATCATTCGCACTGTTCATCAATTTTTCCACTGGTTTCAGAATTTGTTCCGTGTTTTTTTATCGAGTTTTCCATGGTTTTTATTGATTTGTCCATAATTTTCATAGATTTTTCCATGGTTTTCTTCAATTTTCCATGGTTTTCTTCAATTTTCCTTCGATTGTTCCACTGTTTTCTTCCATTGTTCAATGGTTTTCTTCAATGTTTCTATGTTTTTCTTCGTGGCGCTTCGTGTTGACGATGTTGTTGTTGTTGTTGCTGTTGTTGCTGCTGCTGCTGCTGCTCTTGTTATGTTGTGTTGTTCCTTCCTTCATTCCTTCCTTTCTTTCTTGCTTTCTTCCTTCCTTCCTTCCTTCCTCACACCTTCCTCACACCTTCCTTCCACCAGAAAACGTGAAAACAAAAACCCCAAAGAAATAGCCCTCCATGATCAAAGACTGTCAGCACGACAGCCTGTGGAAAACATGCCGCGCAGATCCGGCCAGCCCCAACGCTTTTACCAAGGCAGACACCTGTTGTGCTTGTCCTTAGTATTGGAATGGCAAACACAAATATCAACGCGGACGTAGACGTGGAACATGTATGGCGGAAACCGTCAAAGACGGCGAAAGCCGTCAGGACACATATCTAACTAATGTAACTCATATTTCGACCTGTGGGTGGACATAATCATGAGTATAAGTACATATTATAAACATACATAAGCATAGACAGTGTGCACAAACATATACATGGACACACACACACACAGAAACATCTCTATGTTTGCTGACAGTATTGCTTCACTAGAATCTTGGAACCAAGTGGCCATAGCCGAAGCTGCTGTAGTCGTAGTCAAAGTCTGGATACGTCTGTTCCATGGACTCCAGTGCTTCCTCCCGTCAGGCAGCAAAATCCCTGAAAATCCCAATGCCTCCTCTAATCCCATCCTGGGCCTTTCCAGCTAGCCCCAGTGGTTGTACTGACCTAAAGACACCAATCGCTGGCTGATCATGCCACACAGTGCAAAACCGATCACTGCAGTCTTCACCTTGAGACTTGTTTCGATCAACTTCTCTGCTGCTAGAGGCACGTCTGATATTCAAACGCTGGTCTTTCTCCAATGAACTCCTTGGAGTTTACCATTTCCTTAGAGCACAGCATAAGATGTGACGATGGGAAACCGAGCTTACACACTCGCCGTTGCTGCAGGGAATCCCAGCACTGCTTTTTACTTTAACTTCAATAACAATAATAACATTGGCAATTCCATGGCATATCCTGGAGGGTTTGAATATGTTTGAATGCTAGACCGAAAACACATCGATTTCCCGAGCAAAGTGTCCAGGATGTCGGATGTGGGATCCAATTTCTTCCACTCTTCCTTCACAGAAAGCCATCTCCAACCCTCACCAATGCTTCCCACATTTCCCACTCTCAACCGCTAAACTTGAGTTTCAAGTCTTGATAGAAAACTAATGAAAACTAGACGTACTGGGTCACCAGAGAACAAATGCTCGTCTTGCGACGTGTTAGATTTGCCAACACTCTTGCATGGAACAAAGATGCACTCTTTCAAAGCAAATCTGAATCTCCTCAACGTCTTCGAGATCCTCAGTGCAAGGTGGCCAGGGCCACAAGTAGCAAAGAACAATGATAAAGATTGATGAAGTGTACAACAAAAAAGTGAGACATTTTTAGACATGGTTAATTGATTGCATCCCCAAGTGTCGGAGAGACTTTGCTGCTCTGTTGGGTCCTCCAGTGACCGGGTTGCCCCTGACCTAACCCACCAACCGCTGCTTCCCAAGCGGTTCAACCCCCGATCCTTCACAAAGACGCCAAGGCCTTGGCTTTCCCCAGGCAACCTGTGCAGGATGCCAAGGTGCGAATACATCAAATTGCTCTTCGCAACAGTCATCACAGAAAGCCTCTGAAGAAGATGCCACATGATAAATGAATATATATTATAACTATATATATAATATATGTATTGATTTATGATCATATGATATATGTACAATATTGTGTGATATGATATGACATGCCATCCTTGTCTCACTGAACCAATCCTTCCTGACCATGAAATGCAGACCTCCTCCAATCCTCCGTCTGTACAAATCTTTGCTCATCGCAGTCGCTGGCGAAATGACTGACCTTAAAAGCATTGGATTTTGGGGAACAGGTTTCATTTTCATGCACGACATCATACGACATCCAAATGCATCCCAAAATGATGATATTTGGATCTACTGCACACCCTACGGTATGTGATCCATGGACCGAGGACAAGACTGGCACCATTTGAGTCACGTTGGGATTTGCGCCGTTTGTCATCTCCTTGGGTTGGTACCAACTTCTATGGTGATTCCCAGAAATTCGCACCAAATGACTTGCAGAATGGACTCTGAATGAATATTTTATCTTTTACACCTTGCCAGAATTAAGCTTGCAAATCTCTGTTGTTCAATTCCAGCTTTGCACAATGCTTCCAGCTTGCGTTGATGACTGCTTGCAAACCATGAGGCCAATTGCACGATGGCTTGGGCTCTGGGCTGCCAAATACAGCCACGATTCGCAGGTGATTTTACAATCTGTTTCAGTATCAGCACCAAAACATCATAGTGCTTCTCAAACTGGTTCTCCCATGTAGTTGTACACGAATAAATGGATGCGTAGATTTTGAGTTCCAAACTGCAACTACTAGTAGTGGACCGGAAAGAGAGAAAATGGGAACGAAATAAGCACTATCCAAGCGACTTTAACCTATGTTGCCACGCTGCTCTGTACAGATTGAGCAGAAATGGCTCAGCGACGAAAGATCGACATGAGCCTAATGAGCTGTGATTACAGATTGCCCTTGGCGGTTCCAACTTCTTGCTACTGCATGGAAGCTACGATGCAATGATTTTCGCCCGACAAAATTGCACAGTGGTTCAGCACGGTGGTTCAACATATTGGTAGCCACCAAAGTGTAGTCTTGATACAGCTCGGAAGTCGACATGTCAGCACATAGATCTCAAACACCCAATGAGATTCAAATTGACACAATATGGCAGTGTGTCAAAACCTTGTACCCCTGGTGAACATCAAAATAGCTGGTAAATGGATGTTCATCCCACTAAAAATGGTATTAATAGGTATTGATCCATACCCATATCTTTGGGGGAAAGGTTGCAGAATCCGTGCCTGGCCGACAAACCAGTGGAACATAGTGAGCTCCTGATCCCATGTGCCCAACTGCCATGTCCCACTGGTCCCACTGCGCATCACTGCGCGCTTAAAAAAGCAGGGCACCTTGAATCACTGGAGCCAGGACGCAAACAAACCTGCCAGGGAAGCCGCCAGTCCACCATAGTCCACCTATTTTCCATGTTGGATGGCAGTCTTCTGGCATCCTGGAATTGTCCAAAAATGGGTACACCCCAAAATCCAATGGTCCATAATTATATAATTTTTTTCCACCTTCAAAATCCAACATTTTGGACACATCCGCATGTTGCATGTTCACAGCCTGTGACTGAACTGCAAGACTCTCGAGCTCCTCATTCACAGCGTTTGCAATACCTCGACCCACGTGGCACAACGCTTCAAACCCTCACACGCACAAATGCAAAACCCTGGCCAAGCATTTTCATCTGAGCTCCAGGCCCACCAAATCCATTGCTTCAATGTGCACACGTCCAGCACAGCACCTTGGAACTCGAGCTCTGTCATAATGTTTCGTCCTGATTAGTGTAAGGCCCCCCAACAATACCTGTACCCTCTTTAAAGTTGGGCGCCAACAATTTTCTTGCCAGGAAAACAAATCCGCACTTAAGTAAGGATTTCAATTGGGCACAATTGAAATCTAATTAAAACATATTAAAACTGTCTTTTTGCCGATGAACGTGTAGTAGTACTTGTAGTACTTGTAGTACTTGTAGTACTTGTAGTACTTGTAGTACTTGTAGTACTTGTAGTACTTGTAGTACTTGTAGTACTTGTAGTACGTGTAGTACTTGTAGTACTTGTAGTACGTGTAGTACTTGTAGTACTTGTAGTACTTGTAGTACTTGTAGTACTTGTAGTACTTGTAGTACTTGTAGTACTTGTAGTACTTGTAGTACTTGTAGTACTTGTAGTACGTGTAGTACTTGTAGTACTTGTAGTACTTGTAGTACTTGTAGTACTTGTAGTACTTGTAGTACTTGTAGTACTTGTAGTGAGTGGGGTTAAGCATGTTGATTGCTTTACTTTTTCCACCTTAAGTTTTTCTTAATGAACCATCTGGCAATGAGAGAAAGAGAAAGAGAAAGAGAAAGAGAAGAGAAAGAACAGGTTGCTTTTGTAAAAGGTTTTTCTTTCTTCTCTTGGCTCCAGGATCAGCTCTGGAAAAGTTTGCTGCAATTGTGAACCCTGCGAACAAACCTACTAAAGTGAATTGGACCCTCTCATGGCCCAGTGCCTTGGAAGTTTGTGGAAAAACTGTTCTTTAACAAGGGTTTAATAAGCGGTCTGATTGTTTTGGGAAAGGTTTGGACTTTGAATTTGGCAACTGCTTGTGGAAAAGGCCTACCTTTCTTCTCTTGGCTCCAGGATCAGCTCTGGAAAAGTTTGCTGCAATTTTGAATCCTGAGAACAAACCTACTAAAGTGAATTGGGTCCTCTCATGGCCCAGTGCCTTGGACATTTGTGGAAAAACTGTTCTTTAATAAGGGTTTAACAAGGGTTTAATAAGCGGTCTGATTCTTTTGGGACAGGGAGAAAAGCCATTTTTTTCAGAAAAAATGTTTAGTTTTTTTTACACACACATTTTTTTGGACAAAATAAAATTGCCCTCCCAACATTTCTTGCCACAATAGTGAACCTTCCAAACAATGCAGGGGTTCAGAATAAATTGGAGAATTTTTGGCACAATAGCGAACCTAGCCACTAATCAGGATACAACATTACTCCCACCGAGGTGTCAATCTTCGAAACAGCGGATTGCCTCCAACGGTCTTTTTCCGCAAACATATCCCTCAAATTTGGATGAAGTAGATCATTTCCCCGAAATTCCAATGGATTTATCATCATTTTCCTGGTAACATCTGGTAACATGGAATGCATCAAACTTGCCACAAGCTGCGGCAAGTTCCCCCCAACTGCCAGGTGCAAGCCACCAAAACATTCTGAGCGTCCGGACGAAAAGTGTCTGCCCGGAGCTGCTGCGAAGTGCAGAAACTCCACTCCCAGGGCGCTCTTGCCGATGCCCTGATCAGCTGTGCCATCAAAATCACCAAATCTCGCATCAAACATGGAGGAAAACATGGTGATAATACTATACACCCATACGCCCAAGTCCTTGCAATGTTTGCGTTTGACAGCTATTCCCAATCAAAACGCTCGCCACGACCCCTGTCCCGGCACAGACCTTGCAAAACCCCTTTCCCCATTGGAAACGCTAGCTTTAACAAGCCTTGACCAAACTATCATGGTTCTATTATGTTCTATTCTTTTTTGATCGAATCCCATCGGAACGCCGGTTTCCAACGGGCCTTTTTTCGTGGGCACTGTTGACGCCCACAAACAAAAACGCGAAGCAGGCCCTTTTCCTAGTTTGTATACTGCAGGATGGGTTCTGATAAAGGAAAAAACGAGGTCCAAAACGAGGTCCAAAACGAGGTCAAAACGAGGTACGGAAAAAGCCCCGCATCTACACACATGGACTTTGGCCCGCAAGCCGCAAACCTGCCCTTCCTTGGATCACTGGTAGCGAAACAATGACAATTTGCAGAATCCCAGCACACCGCCGTGGCAGTGTAGAGATGATAATCCCAGCGTTGTGTAGAAGTACCCGGAAACAGCAACAGCAGCAGCCGTCGAACCAGCAGCCGCAGCAACAGCAAGACGCCAGTAGCTGCAGAACCCAACAGCAACCATCCCAAACACAATGAGAACGCAACTAGCAAGATTAAAGCACTATGCTAATAGTAAAACAACGCCCTACCCCAAACACAACCTAAACGCCGCTTCGCCACTTTAGGTCTACATGAGATAGTAAGACAGCAACCTACCCTAAACACAAGCTAAACGCCGCATCGCCACGACTTCCACAAAAGCCTTCCCCCAAGCTAATTTCAAGATTTTTGGGATTTCGCCACGACTTGGGCAGTTGGGAGTAGCCATCACAAACTTCGATGATGATGATAATAATCATTATTATTGCTGTTGCTATTACAATAAACACAATGCATGAATAAACAACTTCAGGCCCAGCGGTAAGGGACGAAAGCTAGCTTGGCCGGGACCTTGGCATGAAAACACAATGATGCTGATGCTGAGGATGTGGATGCTGTCGGTTTTGCTGCCAGTGGCGACATGCCGACGGTGATTGGGGGGAGGGGTAAATTTCATGCGATTGGAGATTCCAGCCCCCCCAATACCTTGCTAAGGCAAAAGGGACTTCAGCCAGCAGAAACTAGCTTTCGTGACAACCTTGATGATACAACTGATACACACATTTCGAAAGCAAACCATGACATTTCCAACCGAATCACCTGCATAAACCCTCGCATGGAGTCCATCTGAGAAGATCACTAAGTGCTTATAGTATATTTATCACCAGTGGGGTACCAAACAGCAAACAATTTCTATCATTGTTTAAAATCAGGTTTGCATGTTTTAAAACAAAACAATCCAATTTCAGGGGTCAATAGTTCATAATAGTTCTGAGATGTCCTGAACAATAGCACTTAATTATAGCCAAGGCAGTGCCAAGCCGTTGCCCAGTGGCGTGTTCTCGCCGTTCTCGCCTCTGGCCCCCACAAAGCACAAGCACGTCGACTCTGGTGACCACTGAAATGATGCATCATCTGGCGAAAGCTGCGAGAGTTGATACCCTCTGGTAATTTAACATAGCTATTGAAAATGGCGATTTATAGTGGATCTACCCATTGAAAATGGTGATTTTCCATAGTTATGTTAGTCTACCAGAGGGTAATCCAAAAAAGGGGATGTTCATGATGTATTAATGGCATCGATGATGCGATGTTGCGTCTCTCAAAACTTTCATTCTAAACCAAAGTTCCAGCGACATCATCTTCAACGAGACTACAATGGGTGGCACCCATGGCTGGGGTCTCACCCAGCACAACTCCAACGGCTCCACCTCACGGATCGATTGCATTCTGCCCAAGAAGTGCTCTGGCCTGCACGATCCCAATGTGGTCAAGTCATGAATGGATACCAATGGACCCGTTTGATCTTTCGTATGAATCCATCCATTTGGGGTATATGCTATAGTTACATGATTTTTCATGTTGTTTTTCTGCACCATTGCATCACCATTTTATTTAACAATAGATTCAATAAGTAACATAGACTCATATCGCGCGATGTATCGATGTGTTTTGGCACATGTTTTGGCGAATATTTGATCCACCCCTATGTGGAGCTTTCCGAAGTCATGGGCTTTCCCAAGGTCCACGTCCGGTTCATGGCACCGTGGCGGCATCTTCACCTCCAGGAACTGGGCGGCATCCTGGGCCCCAAATTCACCATAAATCCTGGGTGGTTTTTCGTCAAAAGATGGGTTACATTAAGTTGTTTTTTGATAGAACAGATATTAATGTATTATATATGTATTATATTGTGTTATTGTATGACAATATGTATTGCATTGCTCTCCTCCCTCATGCCTTGCCTATACTAGTTCATCCTAGTTCGCTACAAGGTTTTCCTGCGTTTTTTTCTGATATCATCAACGGCCATGGACAGTGACGAACTCATCACAAGGCAACTTCCAAAAGATCGTCAGATCGGGTCGCCGGGTCCCACCTCCAACATTCGCAGTTGTCCTTCCGCGCTTTCACCCTCTCCGCAGAGTTGCTGCAGAGTGGCCTGGAGTACCAGGCTTTGAAACACCGGCTAGAGACAGCCATGAGTTGTCCATATCAAAGTAGATAGAATTAGACATTTGACAACTTTGACAACAAATGCATACAAAATCATACAAGTACACACAAATCAAACAATTTTTGAGTAGTTATGAGTTATTATGGTTCAGAATTGATCCAAATAGGCTTGATCTAGACCTGCCCGACTTCTGGACTGACTCTTTGCAGAGCCTTGTCTGCGGCATGCTGCCCAAAGAGGATGAAGTGTTCAGACTGGGCCGCTGCAGCTCGGCGTGAAGTGAACTGATTGAGGGGCTATTTTTTCGACTGAAAAAAAGGAAGTGCCTGGTCGCCAATCTCCGACTCGGGGTGGTTGTGCAAACATGTCCTGACACTTCGGGGTCAAGCACATGTATCGGTATATCATACATATATATATATAATATATATATATATAGAATTATATTGACATATTCCCCTTGAAAAATGTATAACGGAGAAAACATGAGAAAACTATTTCAAACTTTGACAACTATTCCTTGCTGTGCGGCAAGCAGCAAAGGTATACCTTTGAAGGATCTCCACAATGGACCTCCACAATGTTTCGAGTTGACATTTTCCGTCAAAGTATCAATGCTGATTGTGAGCAACCCATGCTTTGTCCATCTACCTTTACCTGAAACCACCATGGTGGACATTGAACCCCTGCCCGGAACATGGTTTCCTTGTAGAACATACCGTTTCCATTGTTCCACGGTTGCTTTAGGTGGAGTAGTGGAAGGGGAGAGAAAGGTCATACGGTCATACTCTCTGCTGGTCCTTGCCGCTTGCCAGGAGGCGAGCAGCGACTCGCCAACACCCAAAGATAAGTAAAATTGCTGAGAGAACCTGCGAAGCGGATCTGACTCATCCCGCAAAGATTGCGATCTCTGCAGGTGTAGAGTCCTGCTTTCAAAACCTTGACAGCTCCATACAGCTCCCCAAACAAGGCTGAAAACAGATGGTGCAACCTGGATTATCCTGGATTCAACACCCAATCCGATGGGATTACCATGGATTACCATGCCTCCGTGCTGCGATGTCATGTACCCGTGTACGTAGAGATACGACATGTGGGCATCCGCACTCCACAAAGACCTGGCCGTGGTGAAACCACAACGGGATGAACGACTCTTATTTGATCACAGAATATCACAGATTTTCACCCGCCTGAGCGAGTTCCTGTGACCAACATGTGCTCAAAAACAACCTTACTGCAAGACCAAGCAAACACCCAAACTGGAGATAACTGGAGGACACTTGTGATACGAGGATGCAATAGTTATGCAAACGTTCTGCCATGTTTTACAGTTCTTGCCCTCAAAAATCCACAAGCACTGCTCCTTGGGTTTGACATTTGCTCCAAGGAGCAAAGACGTGTTCTGTAGATGGCGATCTCGCATTCCAAGGATTTCCTGCTGCAAAAGCTTCTCATAAAACCGCTCTCATCGCTATAGTCCTAAAATCTGTCTCCATGCGAGACTTTTCAAATCTTTTCAAGCTAACAACTCGAAAGAACATCATTTGGTGTCTGAGGGATGGCATTGTCATTTCCAGCACAGACATTGTCATTGTCCTCCAGGTTCTTCTTCCACAAGACGTGAGAGAAACCCTTTGCATCTTCCAGCACAAGGCCAACGTCGCCCTGCATGCAACGGCTACAGTGGTCGCCTTCATGAAGCTTTGGCTGTTCACAATGTTCGCACACTATGGAATCGCGAAAAATGAATGCTCAGTGGATCCTGAAGACCTAAGTATATGTGAATGCCATCGGCATTTCTCCAAAATGCTTCATCCGCAAAATCCAATTAGATCCAATTATGTGTATCATCATTTTCCCATGGGTGGGGATGGATTTTCCATAATTGTCCCAGTAAAATGTGCTAAATGTCCCATTTTGGACCCATCCCCATCCCACTCGCCTTCTCGGAACGATACGCATGGGCCGAGAGGTGCAAAGCCAAGCCCCTCTGTGACCGTGCCAAGGTCAGTAGCTTCGTCAGAGATTCCACCGTGGCAACGCCCACATTCAACTGGACATGAGATCCAGATTCCTGATGCAGAAAGATTCACCAAATCCCATGGTTAGTTGGTTGATGTTGGTTGGCTGGTTGGGTGGTGGGTTAGTTGGTTGATGTTGGTTGATGTTAGTTGGTTAGTTGGTTAGTTGGTTATAAGTTGAATCTCATGATTCTGAAAAAAACAAAGACACGTGAGGAAAAACGGACCGAAACTGCCAGCACTCAAGCTGTATAGCACTGGAATTCAGACAGTGCATCTTGTTTTTCGACAAGCTTCCGCGAAGGCGTCATGGATGGTTTCCACCTCAGACCTCACATCGATGGGTGGCTGGTCCAATGGCGAAGCGTACAGGTAGTAGACTTGTCGAAGCGGTTCTCTTCGGATCGGCGATGTAAAGAAGTAGTCATGATAGACTGGTACCACTGGTGGGCTGGAGCAGGAGGAACTGGCTCGGCATTCAGTCACCGTTGGGGTCGAGTCATGGCTCATGCCCTCCAAGTAGAACTGTGGCACCTCAATGTCAAAGGCAGCTGGCATTTTCCCATGGTTTGAACTTAGATGCCATTGTGATGTCAATCTTTCCAGCAACGCTGGTTCTTACAAGACTGAAACTGCCTCCAAGCATGCCTCCCTGCAAGGTTTGCTTCATGACTTCTTCCATTCGATCCTGTCCGATCCCATCCCACAGTATGATTTTCGATGAAAATGGTTGTCTTTACTATACTACACATTATGACAATATATGACAATTATATACAATTATGACATTGCCATGACAATGACATACCACATAACCACAGCCGATTCATCTGCCGCGGCACATCTTTGGGCAAAGCAGCCAGCCCCTCGCTGCCCTCCGAGCCGTAGGAGTTGCCTGACCGTCCAGATCGACCCGACGAAGGCCGCACGCCACAGCAGCCGGTTCGATGTCGTTGGATGGCTGGACTGGGACTTCCATCATGCTGGGAGTTCCAAGGCCTTGGAATGGCTCCGAAATCCACAGTTTTGGATGGTTTGGAAATTTTTGGAAAGGGATGTAAAGGGAATAGCGATGGTTGACGATGCTTGAGGCTTCTTACTCTTTGAGACTTCATGAGACTTCCATGAATCATGAAACCTGAAACCATCTGAAACCTAAAATCTGTTTCCTGGATGAGACTTGCTGCTACAAGTATGTTGAACATGGTCTTCTATTTCTCCTGCTTCTGAGCACTTTTCATGCACTTTTGTTTATAGAGCATGCCATGCTATGCAAAGATGAGGGCGGTTTAAAAACAGTAGCTGTAGTTGCAGCGCGTGCACGAAACTTGGGGTCCACACTCGCGATATCCCCGAGGGCTGCCCATTCCCGGCCGGGTAACATATGGCCTGGGAGGTTTGGGCGCCTGGCGCAGATAGCCGACTGCGTCACATTGATAAGTTGAACTCACCACGAAAGCGCCTCATCTGCTGGGCGCGGCCCTGACCCCTCGGAACACCACGTTTGCGAAAAGAACAAAGTCACTAAGTCACAGTGTTGGGTTGATGGGTGCAAAAACACAGCTCAGCAAATGCCAAAGGGTCTTTCGTTTTTTTTGTCCATCTTTGCGTCGCTCTGAAGTTGAAATCTTCAAAATAATTAAATACTATCAATCAAGCAATGGCAGGCGCTCGAGCGCTAGCGGGACACACCCTTCAGCGCACTAAATCGGGTTTGCACTGGTGGGCTCGAATGGTATTCGACGGTGGCCTTGGCCCTGACAGTAGTTGCACCGTGTTTTGTGCAGGCTGTGGTCTTGCCTTCTTGGCTGGTCTGGCCGGTCTGGGCATCGCTTTCTTCTGAGGCTTCGGCTTGGGACATGGCTGCAAACAAAGCTCTTCAGGTTCTTCAGGTTCTGGTGCTGGCCGCTTTGGTCGCTTTGGCATGGCTTTCACTGCTGTCTTCCGTGCAGTTGGGCACCTTCGCACTTCCACCTGCTGGCCAGCTGTGGTGGTGCTGGCTGCCTGCAGTGTTTTGACAGTCAAGGCTTCGCGTTCAGCTCGGTCTGTGCCAGGAAATTCTGGAAACTTGTGGACAATCATCCTGAAGACAACTATTCTCCCACAATGCTGGTATGCGTACAGTCGTCGATTCCCCATGATGACGTAGAAAACTCCTTGATGCACGACGGCAACCAATGGAGGTATGTCCATTGCGTCTAATACTCCCAGCCTCAGTTCGGACATCAAGTCATCGATGGTCTTGCTGGGATGTCCATGGAGAAATCTCTCACTGATGGTTTGGTGTGAGTGCCGGACGTCATCATCGTCCGAAGAGAAGGTTTCCACCAGATTCTTGAATCTATCAAGTGCCCTGGCGTTCACTGCAGGGTCCAATTTTCCAAACCTGTGGGCTTGTGACTTCTCCCACTCCAGTAGCATGCCATCCCTCAATGTGCCCGGTCGCATCTCTGCAGTCGAAGTCGCCCTCTGTCGCTGGGCGAGCCAACGTGTGAAACTTTGTTGTAGGCCTTCAGAAATGGTCCAGTGATGAACTTTTCCAGGTGGGTCAGGTGGGTTGAAGTCATCCGGCTGCCAGCCTGTGGGTCTTAGCTCAATTTGGAACTGACGCGCAAGGTCCACTCCCAATGCATCAGAAACGGCTCCTTGGCCCAAGGCCATTTGGAAGGCCAAACTCACATCTTCTTCACTTCGCAATGGTCGCATGGACTGGTGGGTTTGGGTCAGTGAATGGAATGTATAGACTTGGCCCCCTTGCTGCACAACCTCGAAAAAAAGTAGAGCTCCTCCTGTGGAAAGGTGCGACATCTTCTCATCCATCACCAGCCTGAAGCTTTTGATACCATTTCCAACAATTCTTGCGCGCTCTGAATGCGCTGCGATGATGCAGGGCCAGGGTCGAAAAGACTTGGTGAGGTCAAAGAAGAAACGTCCCTTGTCAGGTCTGCGATCCCTCCCTGACTTCCTTCGAATCTCCTCTTCAAATGAAGCCCGCGCCCGCGACAGAATTTCCATGAAAGTTGCCTCGGGCACAGGCTCAAGGTGTTTGACGTCTTTCATCTGAAGCAGTTCATCAGGCCGGTCAGGCATCCATGGCACTCTGATGCCTTGCCACCGCTGCAATAGTGAAGCTTCCGGCAGGTTGACGCCCTCTGGCACGGTTGACTGCTCGACCTTGATGTTGTTGGTGGTGCCAGGCCGCTTGACAGGCAACACACATGTTGGAACAGGGGGCCAGAAATTCTTCACCGGGAGCCTTCTAGACATGGCCACTTCGTGGGCAAAGCTTCCCCCATGGCCTGCGAACATAGGATACGCCCGTGGTGCATCGTCGCAGGAAAGCAGTGCACATAAGGTGAGGCCAAGGAGTGCCGCTTTCTCCTGCAGAACTCTTTTCGGCCCCAAGCCTAACGCATGCACTGTCTCATGGCCTGGCTGATGTTGCATGTACATTGCGTACTGAGACCAACTCACCAAGGACGGATGCAAATCTTCCAAAAACTGCTGGAGAGGCATGTCCCCAAATGGCCATTCTTCCCACAAGTTCTGGCAGGTTGGAAGTTTCAGCACATGCTGCGCAAATTTCGCTATCTGAGAGCTGTTTTCTGTTGGCCTTTCCAGGACCACTACCAGGATGTTGGGAATCCTCCCAGAGACAAAAGCCCGATAGATCTTTGGACCTTCGTCCATAGCTCCCGGATTTCTCCCATTTGCCAATCAGCCAATGGCCGCGGACACAGTTTTCACTCATTGATTCATATTACAATGCCATACAATGCCAAAGCCTGCAAATTCTCAAGGGGAAAAACGGACGAACAGTTGGAAAGACTCACCACTTGCTGACCACTGCAACTTTAAACCATGGCAAATCACTGAAGTTGAACGCTTCAGAATGTGCCACGTTTCCAAGATTGAGCTTAGCACCTTTGCAATGGACACGATAGGAGTACCTCGTGCCTGCCAAATCTTAGGACATCTTAGGACATTGACATGAGGCATTGAGAGGTTCCACACCACTGCTCAGCAGGAAGTCCCGCCTTTTGTTTCCACACTGCCTCTGATACTTTCGCCTCAGGGGCCAACAGTGAGTCTTCTGTGCTCTGTCGAAATCGAGCAAAGATATAAGATGATGAGAGCAAGTGACATGTCAAGTCATTTAGAAATGATGGGATTCGATAGCTCATCAAAGGCAATCAATGCTTTGATATGACTCAATGGAACCTGAGCCATTGGAGCTGCGTTGAGGTGTTGAGCTTAGCACCTTGAGCCCCTCGAACAGCTGTGCAGGTCGCTTAAATCGGCCCCGAGACCTGAGTCGAATCAATTCGGAAAGCCAACCTATGAGACCTACAGGATGCTATGAAAAAAACACAGAGGATCTCACAGGTTCATGCAAACTGCACAAAGGATGTATATAGGATGTATATAATTAATTATAAAGGATGTATATACAAGTGATTTAAGTGAGAAAACCCAGTGTTCACTTCTCCCAAAGCAACGTGAAGTAACATGAAACAACTGTTGATATCTGGTTGACACCATGTCACCTAATAGACCTAACCCTTTTCACGAAGTTTCATGGAGACTCGGAGTCTCCTGGCTCTACATGTGAGCGAATGGCTATAGCTCCTGTCGTCCCTGTGCTGCTGACTTGCTCTCGGTGGCCTCACCGGGCCTCAAAGTCGAAACTTCTGCGAATTTCGAGAAACCGAAATTGTTTGACCTGTTGGTTTTTCATAACTTGTCATATCCACATTTTTTGATTTCTTTAGGTCCCATCATGTCCCGTCAATTTCGCCAAAGCGAGTCAACGCCAGTCAACGCCTGCTGAGTGATGCGTCTGAGCCAACTACGAAGGCATTGTTGCACTTCGCGCGCGGCTGACACATCACTGCCAAGCTACTCCACCTCCTCTGAGAATCTTGGCAGCGGAGACATGAAAAGACTGTCGCCATGGTGGGAATCGTCATGGCATGCGCAAGGGTGGTGACTCGTGCCCAACCAAGATATGCTTTGAGATCAGGAAAGAAGCTAGAGCTATGCCCGTTGCAGGCCACGCCATTTTTTGCTCTGTCAGTTCATGTTTGCAAAGGAAATTCAGGCACTGCAAAACTGTAAAGGTCAATCTTTGGAAACTATGCTTCCATTGCACGCCATGAGACTAGGGTCCAGTGCAGTTTTAGTATGGAAAAGGGAAACCAAACAGGACTTACATTCTGCAGCCATTCATTGGCATGCTCCCATCATTTCAATGGTGGGTGGAATGATTCAAGTGATATGATACGTTGCATCACGTTTCTGTCCGCAAGCAAGCCTCTTTTCAAGGTGCACAACTGTACCAAGCAGCAGATGGGATCAGGGAGAAAAACCCACCATTCCTATCCATTCCTCACCTTTGTGAGTTCAGCCAATGTGACTTAATGTGCATCTGCGTCTTACACAGGACATTCCATTAGCTGCAACAGCTGCAACAGTCCAAGAATGGACAGCTGGTCATACCATTTCTCACGGCTGGCCTCTCTGCAGCCACATAGTGGCCTGATCAATGCAGAACATGCAGAACCTTTCGTTTCATGGGTTCTTTCGCGCTCGGTACATCAATGTCAATGCATCTCACACGATCTGGGTTGTGCTGCTGGAAATTCTACATCCTCGGGTGAAAACTCAAATCAACAGCAAAAATGGAATCTAAGCATCACAAAATGGAATCAACAAGTCTCACGGTGCCTTTCTCAGAAGAAAGATTTGATTCCCAAAGACATCAAAACGTATCAAAAACAAACAAATGATTGCACACGTCAACAATTCTTTTTTTATTTTGGAGAACGCACAATTATGATCAATTATGTATATAGGCTAGGTCATTGATTGGTCATCGTCTATCAAATCCCATGAAACCCTGGAACGATTAAACGAACATTCGTCCAAGGCCTCCAAATCTTGTCCCGACTTGGATTCGAGTCCGAATGTCACTTGCGTGCACTTGGAACCACGATATTTTCAGAACGCTGTTCTTTCCAACACTGAATAATTTGATCTTTCCAAACTCAGAAGTCAAAGTCCACCAGTTAACTCATAGAATTTTCAGTTTGCCACCCGAAAACCACAGCAGCACCTTCTTTGTAGCTGACGACCAGGGCAAGTCACTCCACTCTTGGAGTTCCAGCAGTGAGGTGATGCCCTGGTCATCAGCTACAAACTTTGCTCGCGCACAGATCAATTGCCCGGGGCCCAGGCCTCAGGTCCAGGGTCAGCACAGGACTTGTGACATCAACGGTTCGAACCCAGTCGAACCCTATTTCCAGGTTCGATTCAACTGAACTCTCTCAACATCTAAAGTGATTTTACATGATCTAAACCGTGAACTTTGCACTGGGTTTCACCATGCTCTACTGCTCTACCTTATGTTTCGCGGGAAGACATCCTATCAGACCAACCTGTGTTCTGCACCGGAGTTTTCATGGCAACACTATTGACAGAGCAAAATCACCAACATCGCAAAGGACACCAAAACACAATCACCAAACGTTCTGCATCTTGTCATCATTTCCCTACCCTCAAAACATCTCAAAACATCTCAAAACATCTCAAATCTCAAAACCATCCACAAAGGGTTCCCTTGGGCTCCAGTTGCATGAGCTGAAGCAGAAACATGTCCTTTCGACATTTTCTCCAAGGAACAAAACCCTGCTCTGGCGATCTCGTACGTCGTAAGGATTTCCTGCATAAACTTCCGCAGGACCCGAGGTAATCACAATTCCAATCTTCCCAATTCCCAGATATTCCAAGTCTTCAACGATCTTCAACGCAATACTTTTCCAGGAGGTGAGATGAACAAAATCAGAATCTAGCAAATTGGCCCAGGTCGAAAAGAATTGAATTTGATGTCAAGGCTTCAGTGGTGAGAAAATGACATTCCCATGAGCAACACCCAAAATCAATGGACCTTTTGAAATCAAAGGGAACCAATTGCTATGCTGAGCTATGCTTGGTTGAGGTAGCTACTCTTCATGGGATGATAAAGATTGCAACTCCAGGTTTGAGACTTGTTCCCTTGTTTTCTTCTCCCCCTCCTGCTTCGGAGTCATACAATGCACTTCAAAGGATTTTACAACATAAAGATCATAAAGGGTTGTTTATTCAAAACAATAGCTGCAGCGCGCCCCAACACTGGGGTTCCCACTGGCGATATCTTGGAGGGCTGACCGTTCCCGGCCGGCTACCAGGCTACCGTGCTAGACCTTGAAAACAAGGTTCAACTGCTTGTGGAAATTGTGGACAGCTTTAAACTAAACAGCGTGACACCCAAAAAACACGTCCATCAACACTTGCACTCTCATGGAGTTAATTGGTGGGTAACACAAAAGGCTCCCGGTGTGCAGTCGGCATGCAAAGTTGGTTTGAGCATGTTTGAGCAAAACCATTGCTCAGCAACATGCAGCAACTGCAATTGATTTTTTCCTCCAGGTGTCAAAACCATATGGCACAAATTTGCGCTTTGGAAGGTGGAGCAGCGCTGACGGGACACACCCTTCAGCGCACTTAAACAGTTTTGGCGCTAGTCGGTTTTGACGACGGCCTCGGCCGTGATGGTGTTTGTGTCGGTTTGTGTGTCTGCGGCATTGGTCTCGGCATTGCCTTTTGAGCAGGTTGGGGTCTTGCCTTCTTGGCGGGTCTGGGCATCGCCTTCTTCTCAGGCTTGGGCTTGGGGCACGGCTGCAAACAAAGGTCCTGCTCCTCAGAGTCTGGCACCGGACGTTTGGGTCTGGCTTTAACTGCTATCTTGCGTGTGGCTTGAGACCTTCGCACTTCCACCTGCTGGCCAGCCGTGGTTGTGCTGGCTGCCTGCAGTGTCTTGACAGTCAAAGCTTCACGTTCAGCAGGGTCTGTGCCATGAAACTCTGGAAACTTATGGACGATCATGTTGAAAAGGACAAATTCTCCGCAGTTCTGGTAGGCATACAGCCTGCGATTGCCCATGATGACATAGAAAACTTCTTGATGCCTGACAGCAACTAGGGGAGGTATCTCCAACGCATCTGTGGTGCCCAACCTCAATTCGGACATCAAGTCCTCGATGGTCTTGTTGCGATGTCCATGGAGAAATCTGTCGCTGATTGATTCGTGCGAGCAGCGGACGTTATCATCGTCCGAAGAGAAGGTTTCCACCAAACTTCTGAATCTATGCAGTGCTGCCGGGGTCACTGCAGGGTCCAACTTTCCAAACCTGTGGGCTTGCGACTTCTCCCACTCTGATAGCATGCAATCCCTCAGTGACCTCTCTGCTGGGCTTGTGGCCGCCGTTGGTTGTCTTTGGACGAGCCAACTTGTGAAGTCTTGCTGAAGACTTGTGGATATGGCCCATGCTTGATGAACTTGTCGTTGAAGGAAGTCATCTGGCTTCCAACCTGTGCGCCTTTGTTCAGCCTGGAACTGATGCACAAGGTCCCCCAAAGCGTCAGATCTTGTTCCTTTGCCGAAAGCCATTTGGAAGGCCAAATTGACATCGTCTTTGGTTCGATCCCGCCGCATTGTCTCATGGGTTCTGGCTAGTGAATGGAACTCATGGATCTGACCCTTGTGTTGCTTAACCTCGAAGAAAAGCAATGAACCTTTGGCCGAAGGGTCTGGAACTGACTCATCCATCACCAGCCTGAAGCTTTTGATACCATTTCCAACAATTCTTGCGCGCTCTGAATGTGCTGCGATGATGCAGGGCCAGGGGCGAAAAGACTTGGTGAGGTCAAAGAAGAAACGTCCCTTGTCAGGTCTGCGATCCCTCCCTGACTTCCTTCGAATCTCCTCTTCAAATGAAGCCCGTGCCCGCGACAGAATTTCCATGAAAGTTGCCTCGGGCACACGCTCAAGGTGTTTGACGTCTTTCATCTGAAGCAGTTCATCAGGCCGGTCAGGCATCCATGGCACTCTGATGCCTTGCCACCGCTTCAGCAGTGAAGCTTCCGGCAGTTTGACGCCCTCTGGCACGGTTGACTGCTTGGCGCTGACCGTGTCGAAGGCGGTGAAAGGCCTCTTGGAAGGCAACGCGCCGCTGGAGGCAGCCTGGGGCCGAATTGTCTGCACTTGAATCTTTCTACTCATTGCCACTTCCTGGGCGAAGCTGGCTCCTTCCCCTGCAAAGTCGGGATATGCCTGTTGGGCATCTTCACAGGAAAGCAGTGCACACAAGGTGAGGCCAAGCAGTGCGGCTCGCTTCTGGAGAACTTTGTCTGGACCTAAGCCCAAAGCATGCACTGTGCCATTGTCTGTGGTTTGGTGCTGAATGTATAATGCACACTCAGACCAACTTGCCAACGATGGGTGCAAATCTTCGAGGAATCGCTGCAAAGGGATGATGTCCTGGAATGGCCACTCGCTTCCAACGTCCCTGCAGGACGGGAGGTTTAGCACATGCTGCGCAAAAAGAGCGATGTGAGAGGTGTTCTTGTTTGGTTTTTCCAGGGCCACAACCAGGATACCACGAATGCTTCCAGGGACGAACGCCCGGTAGATCTTTGGATGTTCGTCCATGGCTCCTCCACCTCTTTTGCCAATCAGCCAATGGCCGCGGACACAGTTTTCACTCATTGATTCATATTACAATGCCATACAATGCCAAAGCCTACAGGTTCTCAAGGGGAAAAACGGACGAACAGTTGGAAAGAATCACCACTTGCTGACCACTGCAACTTTAAACCATGGCAAATCACTGAAATTGACAGAACGCTTCAGAATGTGCCACGTTTCCAAGATTGAGCTTAGCGCCTTTGCAATGGACACGATAGGAGTACCTCGTGCCTGCCAAATCTTAGGACATCTCAGGACATTGACATGAGGCATTGAGAGGTTTCACACCACTGCTCAGCAGGAAGTCCCGCCTTTTGTTTCCACACTGCCTCTGATACTTTCGCC